TTGTACTACTTTCAGAAGAAATTTGACTAAAAGAATTTACTTAATAAGTAAATGCTTTTCTTCACTACAGCCATGGTTTGTTTATCATTTTGTTGTTCAAAATACCTATTTGAGCGTTTTTTTGTGGCAGAAAAGTTATTTCTTGAAGAAAGATGCGGAAATATCTCGTACTTATTTTAAATAGGAATTTATTATATAGTTTACGATTGATTTGACCAAACTTTGTTGCTAAAATAACTTGTAACGCTTTATTACATAAATTAACCATGGTATATTCCGCAGCAGTAAGAGTTGAAATATTTTTCGGAAATAATCAGTGCGCTAATAGAACAGCAGAAATATTTAATGAGCGACATGAGAACAGTAACGTGCATCGAAAATATGTTCTAGAACTTGTAGCTAAATTTCGGGAAACTGGGTCAGTCGCCAATAAAAAACGCAACATTGAAAATCCCATAAGCGACGAAGCAATAGGAGTAGGGCTTTTAGGGCAAGTTTATGTAGATCCTACATTAAGTACGCGCAAATTGGAGACTGTGTGTGGTGTTAGACGACGTACTGTCCAACGGATTCTAAAGGCCCATAATTCTCATCCGTATAAAATTCACCAGGTACAAGAACTTAATGAAGACGATTTTGATCGGCGATTACAATTTTATGAAAATATGAGTGAATCAATTATAAACGATGAACATTTTCTAATGAACACTTGCTTTTCCGACAAATGTTCCTTTTTCTTAAATGGCGTAATAAATCGTCATAACTGCCGATATTGGTCCGATTCTAATCCCAGAATTTATCATGAGGTTCATACACAGCAGCCACAAAAATTAAATATTTAGGCTGGTATTTTTGGCGATCATTTAGTTGGTCCTTTTTCCTTACCTGGAAATTTGACCGGTGAAATGTATGTGGAATTCCTGGAAGACGCCATAGATTCTGCATTAACATCCATAATTGAAAATCAGAATGATCGGCGGTACATTGCGAATAGGTTGATGTTCCAATAGGATGGTGCCCCACAACATTACGCATTACGTCTTCGACAATATTTAGATCAGACGTTTCCAGATCGATGGATTTTTAGAAGAGGTGCCGTTGAATGGCCCCCAAATTACTCCTCAAATATTGCAAAATGTGCGGCAACGTTTTGAGCAAAATCTTTATTATTGCATGGAGAGTCATGGTGGCCATTTTCAACATTTACTTGCCTAACGGGTCAGTACATACTTCATTTTTAATTTACTTTGCTGCCAAATGTATTGATCTCCACTAATGATGATGTATTAGTTTTATTTAAGCTTTAAATCAATAAATCTTCAAAACTGCTGAACTGAGGTACATTAATTTTATATCATTATAAAGGGAATTGAAAGACCTTTAAAATGAGGTATCACTCGACCCCCCTTTCCATTTAAGATTTTGGGGATGGTGTCACCCCCGCTTAGGGGGCTGCTCGTGCTAACGTGATTTTTTGCCAAACTTGTGTCCCCCTCGAACACAAAATCGACGGGCGTTTTCAAAAAAAAAACTGAGGTGCCAGTAAATGCGTCTGTTTCGTTTTCGATGCGTCACCCTGTATTTACAGAACATTAACTATACTAAGTGACATATAAATCCGAACACCCAGTTTAAATGGTTTTATTTTAATAAAATTTTGTATAAGTACTTAATGAAGCATAATAAGTAAATGATAAAAATTTCAAAATGATTGCACAGCTTTAAAGCCCTTTGACCTTTAATAATGTGTGGATGCACCCTGATGTGCTACGCATTCTCCAACGCGCCTAGGCATGCTTCTGATCAGGTGGTCAATGTCCTCCTCCGGTATCTCATTCCAGGCAACCACCAACTCCTCTCGAAGTGCTTCTAGAGTCTGAGGAGGACGTTGCAAATTGAGCAATCTCCTACCCATCAAATCCCACACGTGCTCAATTGGGGATAAGTCGGGAGATCTTGGTGGCCATGGTAACAATGTGACATCATTATGTTGAAAGAAGTCTATTGTGACTCTTGCAACATGTGGTCGGGCATTATCCTATTGGAAAGTTGGAGCTGCCAGGGTGTCAAGATAGGGTAAACGATGGGGTTGTAGAACTTCGTGGAAATAACGCTGCGCGTTCATGTTACCTCTGATGAAGATTAAAGGTGACCTGGAACCATAAGCTATAGCACCCCAAACCATAACTCCAACAGGGTGATGAACATGTCTTTCAACAAAAAACTGTGGATTCCTCCTTTCACCACGTCACCTTCTAACCCTGGCACGACCATCGTGCATGCCTAAACAAAATCGAAACTCGTCACTAAAGACAATACTGTTCCATTCCTGATCCCAGAGTGACCGTTGTCTGCACCACTCAAGGCGATTAGGTACGTCGGTGTTCTCGAGTTAAAGGGAGGACCCAGTGTGGCCGGTATGAAAACAAGCCAAAACTTCTCATTCGTCGGTAAACACTTCGCATGCCAATAGGTCTTCCGTGTTCTGCACACCATTCATTTGCAATGGACCTGGTAGTGGAGAAACGGTCCCTTAAGGCCAATAATCTTAGGCGGCGATCTTCACGGTCTGTTGTTCTATGGCGGCGTCCAGTGCCCCTTGCTCTTTGCGTACGGCCTTCTCGAAGCCATGCCTGACAACACCTAACCACAGTGTCTACACTTCTTTGCACTCTAACTGCAATTGCCCGAAAAGAAAGTCCAGCTTCCCAAAGTCCCACTATACGGCCCCTATCAAACTCACTAAGTTGACGAAATCGTACAGGTCTCCGTACTCTAGGCATCGTAACCGATCGTAAAGGATGTCAAGAACCAAAATCCGCCAAAGTTGATTCTTTACTGCGGCTGAAATATTCATTTTTAGAGCGTTAGTGAATTAAAAAAAAGCAGTATAAAAACCGGAATGTCCAACTGATAAGGCTGAAAATTTTTTCACTTGTTATTTACAGTAAGATAAATACATTCACCAACTTTTATTAAAATAAAACCATTTAAACTGGGTGTTCGGATTTATATGTCACTTAGTATATTATTCGCTGTGTCTATCTAACCGCTTGGACATCTACGGTATTAACATGGCCACTGAAGACACCTACCTGTATGCTTCATGATGAAGATTGGATCCGTTTTACAGGCATACATAGTCGAATCATATGAGACGAAAATACGCCTGGTTTGCGAAATAATTGTAAAGTCGGGTTTTATTGCTGTAAGTTGTTCAAGGGGGTATTCAAAACATGGATGCATAAAATGGGTACACCAATTTTTGTGGGCAAACTTTTATTTGACAACAAAGAATGAAAAAACGTGTTTTTTGGGATTCAATGGAAAGTGCTGCATGAACGAAAAAACTCTTCATATAAGACTTTTAGGTATTCAGGCCTACAAGGTGGGACCACACATACATAAAAAGGTCCGACTGATAGCAAAAAAGTTATGGCTGAAAACCGAGGCAAGCTGCAGATTTTGGCACTTGTTGGTATTGCGACGAGGGTTTCTTACAGATTTTGAAATTTTCCAAATTCGTAGGATTCGTACTCCTAAATTACCACTACAAAATTGGAGCAGTTTTTGAGATTATCTAATTGTTTATCCCAAAACACCTGTTTTTCTGCCATCACTACTCGTTTATTGAGCAAGATACAGGGTTAGTTCAAAGGATATTTTATAGCAAAATGCACTAGTTTACCTTGCCGATATTATTCGCAAGCCTTTCCGGAAGATAAATGTTATTTTAATGCAAATAGGATGGAATATGTTTTTTTCTTCTAAACAAATTCAAACATTTCGTATTTGTGAGTAATTCGCAACAAAAGATGACAGACACGTCCGCTTTGTTTTAAAATGTGTAAAGTAACGTATGTTTTTCGAATCTAATAGCGCATTTGTTCAATTACTCACAAATACGAAATGTTTGATTTTGTTTAGAAGAAAAAAAAACGCAACTTTGGTATTTCGTATGAAAATAACATCTTTCGGAATGGTTTGTGATTTATATCGGCAAGGTAAACATGTGTATTTTGATATTGAATGCTCTTTGAACGAGCTCTATATATTGCTCAGTAAACTAGTAGTGATGGCAGGAATTAAAATGTTTTGGGATAAACAATTAGAAATTCTCAAAAAACTATTTGACTAATTTTTTGCGGTCCCATGAATACCTAAGAATCTTATGAACATAGTTTTTTAGTTTCTGTCAACAATTTCGATTGAATCTCAAAAAACGCGTTTTCTCATTTTTGTTGTCAAATGTAAAGTTTTGACACAAAAATTGGTATACCCATTTTATGCGTCCATGTTTTGAATGCCGCTTTGAACAACTTGCATCAATAAAACCAGACTTCACAATTATTTTATTATTATTTTTATATATTATTATTTTATTAATATGATCAGACTATCACCGTCTCGAAAATTTTGTCCTAGTGTATGAGTGTTTTCCAACTTTGACACTGTCAGTGTGACAGCTTCTTTGTCATCGCCGTACGATTTCAGTTGATCTTTGTTATAAGTAATGTCTGAGAATAGGATTAGTGTACAATGTCGATAGTTTGAGCTTAAATTGGAGTATTACTAGAAAGTGAATGAAAAGAATGGTGCGTATTACCCACTTCATGTGTGCAAGAATCAGTCGCAGCTGTGATGAAGTTCAATTTACGTAGTATGCATCTGCATGGAGAACAAATAAGCTACACCCATGACATGATCAGTTCATATTTTGCATATCTTTGATTATATAACCGTCAAAAACGATGAAAACAATGAGGAATATTGTTATTGTGGAGCACATGGAATTTAAACTTAATACGCTTCTGGATCACTTACATTACGAAAAATTACGTTACTTAACACCATCGGCTTGCTTGAATTCTGGCAATCACTGATTTTCTACAAAAAAGAAAATTACGTTTCTCTATAAAACTGTATAGATTTGCCGTGGTTAAAGCCCATAAAAGATTATAACGTACGGAAAGGAATACTGATAAACCTTTCTGTTTCAGAGCATCGGGGGATCGTAGCACCTGTCATAGTCGAACACTCTGGTGCTGTCACAGTTGCTCAGGATGAAGGGGCAGCGATGATTTGCATAGCTCAGGGGTGCCCTTCACCTGAATATAGGTAAGCTATCGCAATCGCATATTCACGTATTTCTCGCTGTGATTCCAGTCGCTTACTACGCTAAAATCTTGAAGATCGTTGTTAAGTTACCGTAAGCTTGAAAAATAAGGTCCCAGCATTCAGCAATACGCAGCCAACACTAGCTATACGGATTGCCTACCTTATATTCTGTGGCGCAATTGCCACCTTTCTGTTTGCTTGGCGTGCTTGAAACTGCTCCAAAGGTGCCATCTGCGGATAGTATTACTTATCTTCATGTCTCCTTACCCTATGCTAAAGAGTGGTTCTTTGCTATATTTTGTTTTTCCCAAAAGCAATATACCATTGCTTAAGTTTATCGTACAATACCGTCCTATGGACAATTCAGAAATCATGATGGTGACAAAAAGTAGCAGTGTTAGGAGTGAGACCTACCCAGCTGTAACGCTGTCAAGTTGCAAACTACTGAAAAAGGGATAAGTGTAGTATGCTTGGAGAAGGGAGATACAAAAGCATATGAGTTATGAAGATTTCTGTCGATCCATTTCGTTATTGCCAACAAAGAGGTGTCACCTGCTAGTCGAACTGCTTGCTTAAAGAAACGGAATGTTGATTCGTGCTGAATTGTTCACGAAAGAATAGTTGTCGACGCCGTTCTTTACGGGTCAAAGTAAAACTACCAGTATTTATTAGACACCAAGTAAATTGTATCTGAAATTTTCAGCTCACATTCTGTTAGTGTAAATATGAAAAAATGCGACTCAAATATCATCGTAACTGCATGCATCGCAGGAAGAACAATAATACAATGGCAATGGTAAAAAACGATATTATTTCACTAGAGCCCGATATTGTAATCGTACCACACTAATCTATCGCGTTTCATTGATTACACTAAAAGATTTAAATATTTGTGCGCGAAAAAAAAATCCTTCTAAAACAGTGTAAGGTACCCTACATTCGAAATTAGACAGCACAAAGTGCCATCTATTACCAGATTCAACCACCAGCCTACACCAAGCTGAAGAGTTGCCAAATAGCACGAAACAGCTGTCTATGGTTGGCCGTCTGTGGTCGGACGGACGAAAGCTATATTACTAATATCTTACAAACGCCATACAAATCTTACATTTTGATCGTGGTGAAGTATACGAACGAGCAGCGTTTGGAAGTAATTAAAAATTACTACCGGAATTCTGAGTCAATGTTTGGAACTTTAAGAGCGCGAACTCCAATTTTCGGTCGTGAAAATCGTCCCACCAGACAAGCTGTGCGTGCCATTGTGAATAAGTTCGAATCTCGATATCCACTACTAGATGTGCCTGTGTCATTGATATGTCGAACCGCTCGAGCTAAGAAAATATCGCAGCCGTAAGTCGTTCAGTGCAGTTCACAGGAATTGGGCATTTCTCAGACCACATTGTGGCATATTTTGCAGAAAGATCTAGGTCTCCATCACTATAAGATCCAACTAACTCAGAAACTGAAGCCACTTGACCATTTCAAGCCTCGTAACTTCTCCGAATTTCATCGCAAGATCATATTCAGCGATAAAACTCATTTCTGGCTCAACGGCTTTGTCAATAACCAAAATATGCGTTATTGGGCAGCAACAAACCCACATTTGCTTCAAGAGAAATCATTGCATCCGGAAAAAATCACCGTATGGTGTAGTTTTCATGCTGGTGGTGTGATAGGACCATATTTTTTCGTTAATGAGAACAATCGTCACGTTACAGTGAATGGAGTGAGGTAGCGTGACATTTTGGAAAATTATTTTTGGCCGGATTGGATGATCTTGACATCAGTTATATGTGGTTCCAACAAGACGGTGCCACATGCCACACAGCTGGTCAAATAATCGATTTGTTGAAGACGAAGTTTGGAAGTCGCATTATCTCGCGAAATGGATCTGTCGAATGGCCACCTCGTACGTGCGATTTGACGCCATTATGTTTCTTTTCGTGGGGCTACATGAAGTCATTGGTCTATGCAACAACGTTAGATGAGCTACGCGACAACATTCAACGCGAAATTCGCAGCGTTCCAGTCAATATGTGAGAGAGAGTGGTGGAAAATTGGGTTCAAAGAATCGACCGCTGTAAACGGGCTCTTGGTGGAAATATGGCCGAAGTCGAATTCCATAGTTAAATGTATCATCTCTACTACACCTGTAATAAATTTGAACCCCATATCTCAAATGCTTTGCGTTTTATTGACTTACGAAATTGTTATGTCCTTATTGGAAAGCCCTGTATTACTTATTTTGAAAAAGTTAAATAAGGTATGCTGAGTTTTACTTCAGTGCGAGCATTTGATCATTTTTACTATGATGCCATTATTGTTCCAATGCAGAAAAGCTATGGTATAATTATCCTCATCGTTCTCGGCGGGTCAAAGTAAGACTACCAGTATCTCTTTATATATTTCCATCTCCCTCACACATACACATGCAGCCTACCCCTGTGTGTGAAAGTTTCTTCGGTAAGCTTAAAGACATACGTTTCTCAGTTGTGTGTCTCCGTCTCGTTACGTATGAGTTATGACTGCCTTTCAATCATATTTGTCAGAGTGACAACTTACTTGACATCGGCGTACAATTCAAGTCGTCCTGTTATCAATATTCAACATAAAATTGTACAATGCCCGAAAATACGATCAATGGAGGTCTACAGCTCGTTCCAAATTTATTAGAAAATTTCCAGGAAGAGAATGAGACTTGATCTGTTTACTTATTCCATATAGCGATGATAACGTAACCGCCAGGAATAGTGACTACAACTATAGTTTTATGCCAGATGAGTGAGTCGGTGTCGTTGTATATTACGTTAATGTAAACAAACATAGATGAACAAAGTTTGTAAAATATACGATTTGTTTCCAGTAATAATTGGTTCTCTGAGAATGGGGACCAATCCATGTAACCCATAGGAAAGCACTAATCTGACCTTCATAGAATGGTCATAGAAAGACCTCGGCGACCATCAACATATTTTGCTAAGTAGTTTCAATAGAAGCGCATTTTTCAGTACTCACCTTTTGTGTTTTTCATAAGAACTATGACCAGTATTAACTGCATTTTGTGTGACGGGTGTATCAGTAGCAGCAGTAATAATAGTAGCAGTTAATAAGTTATTTCCAGAAGAATACACATCCCAGCAAAGCTAGTTGAGCCGTTTATAAGACATCAGACCCTAAAAAGGTACATTCTGTACGCCCATGTCACCAGCCGGTTCGATTTTAAAAAAGTTGCTACCTCTCACCGCCGCCATCTTGGGCTTCGGCTTTGCACGTCGTGTTCAATTTTTTTCTCTATTTCGTAATTAATGACAGCCAGGCGATGTCGACGCTCCGTGTCGCCGTTGAGATCCACGACGCTGAAATTTTTAATTAAGGTAATAAGTGGACTTCCTTTCCCTCTGGTTTATACAAAGCTTTCTCCGTGGTCGCCAGGGAAATATTGTTACAACTCCATAGAAAGTCGTGTTTGCTCAAGTTCAGTTCTGTATTTGCATAGTACATAAGTATAAAAATGTGTTATAAAAGGTGTAAGAAAGATTCAGTAATAAATTTAAATTACTACAAGGTGGCTTCAGAATATTTTGCAATGCTCATTAAAGCAAGACAGAATGTTATTATGAAAACACGTTTTGTTTTATTTTGAAGACTAGGTCTGCCATTACCAACCATTACTGATTTTAGATAAACTTTCTGGAACTATACTGAATTACAAAAATAGGTGAACACCTATGTATGTTTATCCGATTTTAATAATTTTTGGCATAAATGTTCAGTGTTCCTTAATAGTAAAATGGTTGAATGTTCAGCTTGATTCGTAAACAATATGTTTATTACGCTCAAATTCGAGCCTGATATGTTTTTGAGGTATGCTATAACGACTTTGATATCGACTGTCTCGAAATCAAAATGGCGAACGCTGCAGTCAGCTGCAGTAAAAAATTCTTGACTAGGTGTTACATGTTACTATCTGAAATAGAGCGAACTCAGATGGACATTTTTTCTAAACTCTTCTTGAAGTCGCTAATTCACTATGAATTTCGGAAAAATTGCAATTGTTGTTGTATCATAATCATACTTACCTTCGACTCCGCACTTCCTTTTGCCATATTTCAGTAAAGTTCAGCTGGTTATTTCAATATGTAGCACTACTCGATTACACAATTGAAGAGCCATCTAAATGGAGCTAATGTTATCAAAAGACGAACTATGCTTCTTTATAACTGTGAACAAAGTCTGGAGTCAAACGCAAGAAAAAATTAAGGACTGTTGGGTTCCCGAACTACTAGACTGCCCAAAACGCGTAGCGCTGCAGGCTCTAACGCGTAAAGATATTGAACGATGGTTGTACATGAGTTCCGTACAGCATTTATTATAACAACTTTTAAGTAGAATTTGAAATAAGTAAATTAGTTGTACTGTTATATTGGACGTATATTAAGTGACATATAAATCCGAACACCCAGTTCAAATGGTTTTATTTTAATAAAATTTTGTATAAGTACTTAATGAAGCATAATAAGTAAATGATAAAAATTTCAAAATGGTTGCACTGCTTTAAAGCCCTTTGACCTTTAATAATGTGTGGATGCACCCTGTGCTACGCATTCTCCAACGCGCCTAGGCATGCTTCTGATCAGATGGTCAATGTCCTCCTGTGGTATCTCATTCCAGGCAACCACCAACTCCTCTCGAAGTGCTTCTAGAGTCTGAGGAGGACGTTGCAAATTGAGCAATTTCCTACCCATCATATCCCACACGTGCTCAATTGGGGATAAGTCGGGAGATCTTGGTAGCCATGGTAACAATGTGACATCATTATGTTGAAAGAAGTCTATTGTGACTCTTGCAACATGTGGTCGGGCATTATCTTGTTGGAAAGTTGGATCTGGCAGGGTGTCAAGATAGGGTAAAAGATGGGGTTCTAGAACTTCGTGGATATAACGCTGCGCGTTCATGTTACCTCTGATGAAGATTAAAGGTGACCTGGAACCATAAGCACG